CCCCGCCGCCGGCGACTGCGGGGCGGCTGGACCAGGAGGTGCGTGTCCGGCCCCGGACGGGAGCCTCAGGCCAGGGAGGGGTAGAGGCTGGGCCTGAGGCCTGGACCCGTCACTGGGCGCGGACCTGGCTCCTGCCCGAAGGATGAAGACTTGTCTCTAAAGATGGCAACGTGCGGGAAAGGCCCATCGACCCATCTCTCTCTCCCTCGGACTCTGGGCCCACAGCCCCCTTCAAGCCCCATACCGTCCTCTCTCACTGCCTGTGGGCCTCGCCTGTGTCCCTGCATCCTCTCTGAGGTCTCTCCTCATTCTTGCGTTACCCAGGACAGGGACCTAGCCAGAAACAGGCAGTGTTTCTCCTGTGTCTCCCTCTCCAGTGTAACCTGTCCGCGGACCGTTCAACCATCATCCTCTTGCTTTCTCACCCTTTTTCTTCACTCAAGGAACCCTCTGCCTCTCCAGTCCACCCCTACCTTCTTTGTCCTGGTTTCCTGGCCATGACCGCCTCCCTGTCCCCTCCCACCCACACACACCCACCATCCTCCCAGCTATCCCAGCACCCTCCTTCCTAATCTTGGGAGGCATCTCGTCTGGCTGAACTGGAGAATTCTGGGATCTAGGCCATACTCCTTAGCAGACATCCCATCCTTGGGAGGAGGAACAGGGGAGAGCCTGAGGAAGAACTGGGGAGAGCCTGGGGAGAGTAAGGCTGGGGGGAGGGGAATGACGGGAACAAGGTCAGGCCAGGAGGCCCCTGAGGACAGAGACTGTGGGCAGACTGGGATGGAGGGGAGAGCAAAGGAGCTAGAGCCAGGGCCAAAGGAAAAGGGGGGCCAGTGGGGAGGTATTTGCGGGGGAGGTCCAGCAGCTGTCTTTCCCAAGACAGGGACACATGGGCCTGGTTATTCCTCTTGTCACATGTGGAATGGTGGGAGATGGAAGAGGGCAAAAGACAGAGCAAGCAGAGGAGGACCGGGCACAGAGATGGGTGGATGTAGCTGTCCAAGCCACAGGCCCCCGCAGAAGAGCACATTCACCCAGGCTTAACCCAGTGCACAAACACCTCACACACACACTCGCAAACCCTTTCCCTCACAGTCCTCTCAAATCCAAGCCATCCAAACCCTCTCCCCTGACAATGACCCCTGACAGGAACATTCTCCAATGCAGGCAATGCCCAGACTCCCACTTGGAAAGGGGGAATGACAAGACAGATCTCCCTAGAAGGTTATAGAAGACAAAAGCAGGAAAACAAGAGTCCATTGGATTTTGGCAACAGGTGTGATGTTCAGGGAAAAGAAATTAGGATAGCCAGGAACTGAAAACCATGAATCTAAAACAAGACCTCTGTGCCTCTTCCCCAGGGCGAAAACGTCCTGCCAGATTCCTCCTGGAAAAAACTCTGCTCCTCTCCCATCTCCTCTGCCCACCAGGTTCCAGGCTTCTTATTTCCTAGAAATAGACGGATTCCCCAATCCAGATCCTCCCTGTGGGGTGTGTGGGTGGAGGAGTGGACCATGGTCCAGGCAGGGACTCCAGGGAAGAGAAGGCGTCACTTCCGGGGGACTTCACCAGTGTCTGGTGGCTCCCTGCTCTGATTGGGCAGAAGTGACCCAGGCAGGCGTGTGACCCCACTGCCGTGGAGGGGCTGTGCCCCAACGCCACATGTCTCCCTACCCATCTGCTCCCCAGAGTGCTGCCTGCCGTGCACCTGGGTCCTTGAGCCCTTCTCCATCTGGTGAGTGGCAAGCAGAGTTTGGGTTAAGCTAAGGTAGGAAGGACAGCAAAGAAGAATTGGGCTCTCAGCTGGGGGAGGGGCAGGCAAACTGGAACCTAAAGGCACTGACCTTTGTCGAGAAGAGTGTAGCCTTCCCAGAATGGGAGGAGCAGGGGTAGGGGGTGGGGTACTGGTTTCTGAGGGACTGATCACTTAGTGGAATACAGCTCAGTTCTGGCTGACCCTAGGGAAAGGGGACATGAGCCCACGGAGAAAATAAGAGAGGAGGGGCATTTAGGGATTCGGGAATGCAATACTAAGATGGACATAGCCCCAATTCCCATTCTTAGCTGGCCATTCCTTGTTAGCTTAAGGTTCTGAGTCCTGGGACTGGGGAAGCCGGGTCAGGCAAGCCAGGGCACAAGGAGAGGGCAATGGGAGGAGGGTGCATGCATGTTGACAGACCCACAGGAAATCCCAATATTGAATCAGGTGCAGGCCTCTTTGCACAACTTGTGAAAGGAGGAGGAAGCCATGTGGGGGGTCCTGTGAAGGAACCGGAAGGGGTCTGCTGGGGGGGTGGGGAGGCAGGTGCGAGCTAGGAGATAGATATGTTGGCGGGCGCCTCAGGCAAGCCATGTAAGGCGGGCATCACCTTGCTCAGCAGGTGCCCATTCGTGGGCAACTTGCCTCAGGAAGGAAGTCCCAGGAGTGTTGGCCCATCTCTTTGCCTCGGATAATGGGGTGTTTCAGAACTTGGAGTGTAAAGAAAAACTCCAGGAGGCTTTCTGTGTGGGGGTAGCTAGAGAGAGAATGAGAGGTTAACCTTTCCCACACCACCTTTCAATCCCAGCTAGATAGTCCCAGCTAGCGCTGGTCCGCCCGGCTCTCCTCCTCAGCCCCACTCCCCAGCGCTGAACTTACCACTCAACACTTTTACATGTTGGCTAGTTCCTCATCCTGGCCCTATGTCCCATTTCCACTCTTCTCCAGGTTTAAGCCACAAGACTTTCATTCTAGGATTTTCTCTGACCTAACAGCCAAGGTTGCTCAGAATTTGAGGCCAATTAAGATCTGTGTGTATACATATCATGTCCTGCTGCTCTCGGCAGGGGGAGGGGCCCCACACCCACGTCAGACTCACTGAGGAGCCCCAACAGAAAGGAGATTCCATATGCTGCCATCAGAAGAAAACATGGGAGCAGCTCTAGTCTGGTCAGCATCTCAAGTCCTCCCAGCATCTGTTCCCCACGCCAGGCAGTCTTTTCCTTGAAGCTTGAGGAAATGTTCGCTATGCCTGTCACTTTCAGGATAGATTACAGACCCTCTGCCTCGGCCCACCTTTGCCCCACCCTACTCTGCCCAGAAGTGCAAGAGCCCAAGCCGCCTCCATGGCCCCAGGAAGGACTCAGGGGAGAGGCCCCATACAGGGAGCCACTCCAGCCAGACAACCTAGCCAGAATGGAGCTGACTGGTAAGAACACACTTGAGGGGATGGGGCCAGATCAAAACATGGGGGGGAGTAAAAGGAGGGATGCAGCAGGGATCGGGAACCCATGCTCCCAGAAATGTGGTGTCTGAGCAGCAGGTTCCCTGAATGTCGGGTCTAGGCCCTAAATGGGAATTCCTGGACCACTACCTGACAGTGATTTCTTCTTTATCCACCCCTTTCAACCTCACCCCTCCTCATGTAAGAATTGCTCCTCGTGGCCATGCTTCTTCTAACTGCAAGACTAACTCTATCCAGCCCGGCTCCTCCTGCCTGTGACCCTCGACTCCTCAATAAACTGCTTCGTGACGCCCATGCCCTTCACAGCAGACTGGTGAGAATTCCCACTGTCCCCTCTAGCCACATAACTGGCAAGATACCCTCACTCCCATCACTTCCTCTCACTCCCTAACCCAATGACTATTCTTCCAACATTGTCACCTCTTACTGATCACTACTCTCTGACAAGGATTCTAATTTGTAATAGATACCTCACTAAAAGCTCTAGTCTGGACATAAGACCCATGGAAGATTTTCCTGGTCATGGGGCCACTATACCCCCCTCTATTTCATCTCCCTTCTCCCCTCCCCCAAATCTTTTTTAATAGAACCAGTGCCCAGACGTTAACCCTTTGTCCACACCTGTCCTGCTGCCTGCTGTGGACTTTAGCTTGGGAGAATGGAAAACCCAGACGGTAAGAAAGCCATCCTATGTCCTGTCTTTATCAGTTTCCTACTGCTTCCCATGGATTCTTCACAATTATTGAGCTCCCTAGAAATATCTCACCTTCAACTTGGTCACTCTGATCCAATCTCCATTCACCTATGATGATATCCAGTGGATAAGTCCAACATGCTAAATAGATTTGAAGCTAGAGACCATGAGAAGCTGGAGAGAAATCTTGTGGCCAAGCCTTTGACCTATTCTCATTCAACCTTCTTGAGTTGCCATGAAGTAGTGAGACTGATCTGTCATCCACAGATGACACAAAAGCCGGGAAGTACCACTAAGATAACAAAAGACAAAAGACTCAAGATTCAAATTGCAGAAAGTCTAGGTGAAAAGCAGGGTGAAGGCCGGTCTCGGTGGCTCAGCCTGTAATCCCATGCTTTGGGAGGCTGAGGTGAGTGGATTGCCTGAGCCCGCGGGTTCGAGACCCGCCTGGGAAACTTGGCGAGACCTCATCTCTACAATAAATCAAAAAATTAGCTGGGCGTGGTAGCGCACACCTGTAGTTCCAGCTACTTGGAAGGCTGAGGCGGAAGGATCACCAGAGCCCAGCAGGTTGAGGCTGTGGTGGCTGGGAGCAGCCACTGCACTCCAGTCTGGGTGACAGAGTGAGACTACAACTCAAAAAAAAAAGCAGGGTGAAATTTAACAGAGATGTGTATACAATTCTACATGTGTACATTAATTGAGTCAAGTCCTATTCCAGCATCTAGGCCATGATGCCCTGCTTCTATCAGTTAAGCTTCTCAGCCTAGCACTTCCTATCAAAAAGATCTGAGAAAAACAACAACAACAAAAAAAAAACCCGAGAACATTAAATTGACCACAAACTTTGCATATAGCATTAAAGCAGCTATTTTATGTATGTATATATGTATGTAGGTATGTATGTTTTAAGTTGGGGGTCTCACTCTGTTACCCAGGCTGAAATGTAGTGGCACCATCAGTGCTCACCACAGCCTCAACCTTCTGGGTTCAGGCAATCCTTCCACCTTAGCCTTCCAAGTAGTTGGGACTACAGGTGTGCTCTACCACGCCCAGCTAATTTTTTAAATATTTTTCAGAGACGAGGTCTATGTTGCCCAGGCTGTCTCAAATTCCTGGACTCAAGCAATCCTCCTACCTTGGCCTCCCGAAGTGCTGGGATTACAGGGGTGGGCCACCATGCCTAGCCTAAAGCAGCTACTTTTAAAGCTAGCAATTCTAGACTACTTTAGATGTCTCACCTTCACATTGTGGAAACGCTCCTATAAAACTCTATTCTGAGTGAACTACACTTAGAAGTACTGGCCTGAGTGCTAGTCAGCACCCTCAAGACACATGCTGATGTATTAAGAGGGACCATATGAGACTAACATGTATCCAGAAGGAAACAGCCTGAACAGGAAGAGGTTAGAAAATACATTTTATGAGGGATGGCTAAAAAAAAAAAAATCTACCCTCTGGCCGGGAACAGTGGCTCATACCTGTAATCCCAGCACTTGGAGAGGTGGAGGTGAGAGGATTACCTGAGTCCAGAGGTTCAAGACCAGCCTGGGCAACTTGGTGAGCCCTCATCTCTACAATAAACCAAAAACTATCTGGGTGTGGTGGTGCCCACCTGGAGTTCCAGCTACTTGGAAGGCTGAGGCAGAATGATCACCTGAGCCCAGCAGGTCGAGGCTGCAGTAGCCGTGAGTGTGCCACTGCACTCCAACCTGGATGACAGAGTGAGACTCCAACTAAAAAAAAACTAAAAATCTACCCTCAGGAGCCTTAGAATCCCTTCTTCCCTCATGACTAGGCCAGAAAAGAAGGGTAAGTCCTACGTGTCCCTTGTCATTCCAGCTCTGCCATTTATTAATAAGTGTCTTCTTTGCATTTTTAAGATCATTACAATAGTCTCATATCTACATTTAGTTACAAATCATATGATCCCAAGGTTTTGCAGCAGAAAGTAGATATGCAGCTCTGGAACCAAAAGGTAAAAGCTTTAACAGGGTTTCAGCAATGTAAGAAAAAAAGGAGCTTTTCTGACTGAAACTAAGTGTAAGACCAGGCTGAGTTAGCGGACACTGGATTATTGAAGCAGAGGCGGATGACCAATTGTCGGAAGACTGTGAAGGAATTCCTATGCTGGGTGGGACCCTGGTCCTGTCCAATTCTCAGCTCCTATGATTCACTCTGCTGGCTACTCCTACGGGCTCCCCACCCGCTATTAGCATGCCCTTTGAAGCAGTCCACTTCTCTCATGCCTTTCCCAGGAACAGACCAAGACACAGGACATTCTGGGAGCAGTAACCCTTCTGTTAGAGGCAGTGATGGCAGCACGGGGACAACTGGGACACACCTGCCTCTCATCCCTCCTGGGACAGCTTTCTGGACAGGTCCGTCTTCTCCTTGGGGCCCTGCAGGGCCTCCTTGGAACTCAGGTAAGTCCCCAGTCAAGGGGTCTATAGAAATTGTCCTCCTTCTCTGACTCAGTCCCCCTAGAAGACCTGAAGGAAGAAGGGGTCTTCCCGGGATCCTGAGGGTAGGAGAGTTGATCTACTAAGAGTTGATACTACTAAAGAGTACTCCCCCTAGCCATAATGCCTGGGTGCTGGTATCCTGTCTTTCTTACGTAGACAAGGGAGGCCTGATATCTGGCCCTGGTCTCTGGCCTCAGGCCCATCCTCTGCCCTCAGCTTCCTCCACCAGGCAGGACCACAGCTCACAAGGATCCCAATGCCATCTTCCTGAGCTTCCAACAGCTGCTCCGAGGAAAGGTGCGTTTCCTGTTGCTTGTAGGAGGACCCACCCTCTGCGTCAGGCGGGCCCTAGCCACCACAGCTGTCCCAAGCAGTACCTCTCTCTTCCTCACACTGAACAAGCTCCCAAACAGGACTTCTGGACCGCTGGAGACAAACTCCTCTGTCTCAGTCAGAACTACTGGCTCTGGACTTCTGAACAGACGTCAGGGATTCAAAGCCAAGATTTCTGGTCTGCTGAACCAAACCTCCAGGTCCCCGGACCAAATCCCTGGATACCTGAACAGAACACACGAACCCTTGAATGGAACTCATGGACTCTTTCCTCGACCTTCACCCCGGACCCTAGGAGCCCTGGACATTTCCCCAGGATCACTGGACACAGGCTCCCTGCCAGCCGACCTCCAGTCTTCCCCAACCCATCCTCCCACTGGACAGTACACATTCTTCCCTCCTTCACCCACCTTGCCCACCCCCATGAGCCAGCTCCACCTCCTACTTCCTGACTCGTCTACTACCACACCCAACCCCACTAGCCCTCTTCTAAGTGCCACCCACCCTCCTTCCCAGAATCTGTCTCAGGAAGGGGAAGGTACTTGGGCACTGCCACCGTCAGCGTAGTGTTTCACATATGGGTCCCTTCTCTGGGGAGAGTCCCTGGGAGATAATCGCAGCTAGACCAGATGTCCTGCTTTCATCTGAACCCCAAAGCCCTGGAAAGGGGGATACAAAGAACAGACAAAGGGACCATTTTTCACTGTACATTGTAAAATGTCAGAAGCTATTTTTTTAAAGCTATCAGCGATATTCATCAGAGCAGCTAGTTATCTTTTGTCTGTTTTCTGCACAATTTTACAGCTTACTAATTCTCTAGATGCTCTTTTTCAAATGATAATTTTGCAAAGGCTGGGGCTGACCTGGCCCTTGAACAGAGGGAGAGACTAACCTGTATCAGAAAAGGAGTTTCCTTTGCTTCGAGTATAAGGCCTTCCAGTGCCCCTAGCCCTTATTCCCACTCAGTGGGACTCTTTGATCTTCTACTCTTAAGTGACCTTTACTCTTTACTCTTGAGAAGTAAGTGATCTTTCAGAAAGGCTGTCCCTGTGCAACGGACAAAACTGAGCCTGTACACGGAATAAATGAGAGCACCCAAAAGCTAACTAAAAAGCAAAGGAAAGACGCTCTTCACAGGGGGCAACAGATCCCCTGCAGCAAGAAACATTAACAGGAAGCCGTGCCGAGCCTCACACCCCAGGTAAGGCTGGGTAGACGGCTCAGTTGAGACAGGACCTGCATGTGACAGCTGAGCAAACAGCCAGAGCTTCAGCAGCTCAGCAGGAGGCTTTGCCAGGCACGGACTCCTGCCTCCCTCCTGTGGAGGTCAGGGGGAAGTGCAGGAAGTGTCAGGAGTCAGGCTCCTGGAGCCCACACAGCAGGATAAGTACAAGTGCAAGTAGGCTTTCCCCATTCCTGTTACAGCATCTAAAAAGCAGCCCTGTGCAACTACCATAAGCTCTGTTAGGGGATCTCTCCAGAAAAGAAGTCAGGCTTACGGAGCATTGTAAGTAAGTGCTGCCCGCGTGCTCAGGAAGTTTTATGTTACACAAAAACAAAAATTTCATTGCAAAAGTAAACCTGCTATCTATCTCCAGAGATTCCTGTAGAAAAAATAGTGGAAGATTTTTCCTCTCCCACACCCCAGAGGAAAAGAGGAAAGGCTACCACATAGGTAGAGGAGCCAGGAACCCAGAGTTCCAAACACTGCCACAAATACCCAGTCACCAAAGGCATTGCAGAACAGTGGGATGAAAGGTGACGTGTCAGTAACCTAGTGTACATTACCTTTTTTTAATGCTCACACAACTCTTTAAGATAGGTACTATCATCTGTTTTACAGATGGGGAAACTGAGGCTCGGGGAAGCCAGATGAGTTCCCACACAGCCTGTGAGCAGGAAAAGAAGAAACACCCTAGTCTGACTCACTTGAGGATTCATACTCTCCCCAGTGTGGTGTACTGTCCAATATACCATTCAGTGATTCCATTTGCTGGGAAAGACCTCCAAGTCCTGAGGGAGTAAATACATAAACAAAGAGTTCTGAGTAGAAAACCAAAGCTCTTGATGGAGGTGACCAATTTAGCTATCTCCCAGTGTCCCTCTCTCCCTTCACAGTTACCATGGAGAAAGAATCAACAGATGCACAAAGCTGAAAAATGTCCAAATCTCAAATGGTGTTAGTTTCTGCATGAGGGAGAATTAGTTCATCCACAATACAAATTCCAGAATGCAGTCAAGGGAATGGTTATTTACTGAAATACTGAAGTAGGCTAAATTTAATGATCAAATGAAACACTTTATGGCACATGAAAGAGCCAGCACCAAGGACAAGATATACCAAAGGAACCAGAGAATTATGGATTCTCTGTACAGTCAAATGAGACAAGACTGCAAATGGAGACAAGACTGCAAATGGCAAAACTGCAAATGGAGCCGAAAAGTTCCAGGCATATGGTATTGGCATCCGGCTTACTCTAGCTTGAGGCAAATGTAAATAACTCAGGGGCTTCTCTAGCATGAACTAATCTGCCCCTAAGAATCTAACCCATTCCCAAATCAGTCTGTCTGGCTGGTCCCATCCCGCCTTCCCTTTAGCACAAAAGACTTTTACACTCAGAACACTCTTATCCCTATTTAACTTTATACCAGTTCTTCTTCAGTCAGGACAGTCAATGATACTCTACACACTATTAATAGTAATTACGTTCTCCCACTCTAATCTAAATATGTCCTTGTCCAACTACCCAAAAACCTGAACCTGTGAAAAGGCTAGATTCCATAAAAATTCATCCCATCCCCCAGTGCATCTCCTACTCCCCTTGTCCCACCCCTAGAGAGGTAAAAGAAACACCTTTTCCTCCTACCTGCTGAGGCCATTCATTTTCAGCCCATTTCCCTAAAGACTATTTCTAACACCTCGTGTAGACCTGAAAATGATGGGGAAGGAAATACCCCAGGTGTCCCAGCAGGGAGATCAGCTCCCATGGCAAAACCAGATCAAGAGACAACTGTTTAATATACCCAGAGATTCTTTAAGGATTGTTCCTCCCAAATTTCCTAAGGGAAGACAGAGCCCCACATACTTTCGCAGAGACCTTCATGCTAGAGTCCTTGCAATCATCACCATTTCCTTAACTTTTTTTTCCCTCCTCTTATAAGTTAGTGATTACAGTCAGGTTGCTGCAGTGTCCCGGCACTGGCCCTGGATATCCACCTCAAGGGTATTGCTGCACTGTCCACTTCACTGGTCTGTGCAGCAGTTCCCCATTCAGTGTCATGGAAAAGAACCACCATCACTTACCCTCCCTTCCCGGTCACCACTGGAATGCAGAGCAGAGAGCCAACTCTTCCACCTGCTTCCATAACAAAGTTCTGTCTTCCTACTCTCTTCAAAGTCTTGCCCCATGCTCATGTCTAAAAGCTTCTATCCAAAGCTTCCATAAAAATGATGAACATTTCCAGACTATGAAGAGTGACTCATTTAAGTCAACGTGAATTGACTTCCTAAGAGACTGAAAGTGTTGGAAGGACACGGGCAGGGCTCCTTGTCAATTCAAAATTCTATGCCAAATGGGTGGTATCTTCCGGGTCTGGGGTACCCTTAGGAGCCAGAAGCACAACACTCTCCCAGACAGAAAACCACACTGGAGGATAAATGTTGGGAACAGTCAGACAGGTGACTGAGATAACCTTGAACCTAGATACCAAAAGGCAGGAATAGATCCGGTATTGACACATGATCATCTGGCTGTAGGCCAGAAAAAATATACCATAGACAAATTGGAAAAAATAGTTTTTAACGTAAATGACTTTTTTTAAAAGGGGGAAAACAGTCTGAAAAAGTAAAGTTTAATTTAAAAATCATATACAAAAAATAATTTCTTATGCATTTTAACTTTTCCCACTGGGTCTTTCATAGGCAAGTCAGTTTCCCTTTGAGTCCAGGCTGGTTAAAGATGCACTCACATTGGACAAAGAGCCAGACCCTCAACAGGTGAACAATATCAACTGCTACTCAGGCTTGAACAATGTCCATGACCTGAGTGATTAGGCAGCCAGGCTGGCTTTCGGCAAGGTTCAGAAGGCCAGTTTCTTCATCAGCAGATAAACTCTGGAATCCACCTCAAAGCCATGCAGGTTGTTGGCATCCCCTTGCAGCCTCATGAGCAGGCCCCCATAGGACACGTAGGCAGAGCTGAAACAGAAGGTCCCAGGCCTGTGAGTCTGGAGCAGCCGCTACTCAGCGGCTCTCCATCCCAGCCTAAGAAAGAGAAGACGCACCCTTCTAGTGTCTTGTCATTGGGAACTGGAATTCAGACAAAGACAAATGCACAAATAGGTGCAAGGCAGTGTTCTTTGCAAGGGGAAAGGTGGAAAGCACACACATGCCCAAAATTAGGGGAATTGCCAAATGAATGTATATCCATCTACTGAAATGTTACACAGCTATTAAAACATTTAGGAAGGCTGGATGTGGTGATTCACGCCTGTAATCCCAGCCCTTTGAGAGGCTGAGGCAAGAGGACTGCCTAAGCCCACAGGTTCAAGACCAGCCTGAGCAACTTAGCGAGACCTCATCTCTACAACAAATCAAAAAATTAGTCAGGCATGGTGGTGTGCAGTTGTAATTCCAGCTACTTAGAAGGCTGAGGTGGAAGGATTACCTGAGCCCAGCAGGTTGAGGCTGCAGTGGTCATGAGCATGCCACTGTACTTCAGCTTAGGCAACTGAATAAGACTTCAACTCAAAATAATAATTAGGCCAGGCTTGGTGGCTCAGTCTGTAATCCCAGCGCTTTGGGAGGCATAGGTAAGTGGATTGCCTGAGCCCGCGGGCTCAAGATCCACCTGGGTAACTTGGCGAGACCTCACCTCTACAATACATCAAAAATTAGCTGGGTGTGGTAGCGCGTGCCTATAGTCCCAGCTACTTGGAAGGCTGAGGCGGAAGAATCACCGGAGCTCAGCAGGTCGAGGCTGCAGTGGCTGGGTGCATCTTCTCCAACTCAAAAAAAATCATAATCATAATCATAATTAAACATTTAGGGAAAGCTTTAAATTGATATGGAAAACATGTTTTATATAACATTAAGCAAAAAGGCAGAAGAAAGCATTATAATCAACAACATGGTCTCAAAGAAAAAAGTAGACATTATTCAAAAATATCTATGCAAAAGGTTCCCTCTGGGTATGGAATTATAGGTGACTTTTTTTTCTTCTTCGCATTACTTCTCTGCTTTTCAAATTTCTTACAAAGATTTTACAAAGGGTACATATTGTTTTAATAAGATTTTAAAGAAAAGAAAAAAGAGACAGGCAAGGAAAACAAAGAACTAGGGATTGGGTTACAGTGTAGCAAAACACAGACATACAAGCCTAGCAGTTTAATAACTTAACACTGCATTTAGTTCCTGGGGAAGCAACTCTCCTTTGCACTTTCCACAGCAAGATTACCAGTTTCTCATTTGGTCCTGACAAAGGGCTAAGTCAGCAGCCTACATTTCAGACTGGAAACTGTTTCCAGAATAGTTTCTTTCCAGCTCCTCCTAGGTCTGAGGAGCTTTAGGAGAGGGATGTATAACGGGAAGCAGGAGCATGATCCAAATTCTCAGAACATGGAGGGAAAATAGGCTTCTCACAAGATTATGGAACTTACAGACGTGTTGCTGCTTCAGTAGAAGTTTCGTCTCCCTCGATCCTGTATACTTTCCCATACATCACATACTCAAATTGGTCAGCCCTGTGGAACAATAGTGGCAAAGTTATTTATTTACTTATTTTTGAGTTGGAGTCTCACTCTGTCACCCAGACTGTAGTGCAGTGGCCACTCCCAGCCACTGCAGCCTCGACCTGCTGGGCTCCGGTGATCTTTCCGCCTCAGTGTTCCAAGTAGCTGGAACTACAAGTATGCGCTACCACACCCAGCTAATTTTTTTGGTTTATTGTAGAGATGAGGTCTTGCCAAGTTTCCCAGGTGGGTCTTGAACCCACGGGCTCAGGCAATTCACTCACCTCGGCCTCCCAAAGCGTGGGATTACAGGCTGAGCCACTGAGCCCAGCTGCAAAGTTATTCTTAATAGTAATCAACAATATAAGAGATTCCATTTAAAAATGGCAACTGCTAACTAAACGCTAGCATTACTATAAAAGACACCTTACAAACATGATGTCATTTAGGCCTCATAGCAACCCCGTGAGCTACACATGACCATCTCTATTTTACTGATGAGGAAACTGAGGCTGAAAGAGGTGAAGGTTACTGAACCAATTAAGTGGCAGAGCTGAGAAGTGAACCCACTGGAGCCCCAAACTCTATCACACCAACCTCCCTCCCTACACAAAGCCATTTCCTCAAACTTCAAAAAGCCACAACTCTCAACCATGTAGTGACTGCTATTGATAAATATCTGATTCTTTGAATTAAGTACAGCAATTTCCTTAAGGCCACTCAGATTCTGCTGACTGTCATTTATTTCAAGAATTAAATAAGGGTCTTTCTCTACCACTCATCTACTTAGCCCTCCAGGTATATTTCAGGTACTCCCTTTGCTCCCTCACCTGGAAGGTCTATCATCAGTGGGGTTGTATTCACCATCATCAAGGGTACCATCTTCATACAAGGTACTAGCTATGACCAACCGGAACTTGTCACCTGAAAATAACAGCAACATCTGAGGATGAAGAATAGCTGATGGGGCAAAAAGCCTCTTGCTATTGTCTGTGTCCAATACTTACCCAGGTCTACAGGGTAAATCTGAATATTTACATCTAAGATGAGATCCATCTTGAAAGATTCACTCTCACAATGTAGTCGAGACACTGGGGAGAAGCAGGAAAAGAGTGACAGAGGTCATTGCCAGGCCCAGGACAGAGCCTACAGATTCTAATTTGGGATTGTATCCAACAGACCACTTAGTCTAACTCAGTCTACATCCACTGGCCTCTTACCTTCGTTCATAAAAGCACAGGTTGAAGCAAAACCAGACATGGAAGAAGGAAAAGGGGAGAAAAACTATGGTAAGAGAACAGAATACCCAGAGGAGAATCAAAGATCCTCTGGCAGCAAATAATATCCAGGCTCTAGGCCTGCCTGAATGATTTAGAACCTGACTCTGGGCAAGTTTTCCATTCATCGAAAGATGTCCTCTTTCTATGCTAGGCACTGCGCTGAGGGGATTATCAGGATGTATAAGAACTGGTGTCTTGAAAAATATCTCAGCTTCCAGGCAAAGAGACACTGCTCAATGACAGAATAAAGAGATGCATACCAAGCAGTTAAGTCAAATTCAGAAAGGACTTCCCAAAGAGCTAAAGATTCTAAGGGGAATGCAAGAATATAGGGTCTGAAATCAGATTACTCGCTGTGCAGCCTTGGGTGGGCTACTTAACCTCTCAGAGCAAAATGGAGAAAGCACCATCTACTTCCTGAGGACTCTTGAGAGGCATAAATAAGGCAAAGTGTGTGAGAGATGCACAGAACACCCCTAACAGAGTAGGTAGCGATTATAAAGATGCTTTTGTCAGCATCACGACAAAAGGCCACCCAGGCAGCGGGTACGGCATGCGTGAAGCCAGGGAGAACTTGAGAGTCTCCGTTTTCTCATCCACAAAATGTTTCCGGAGGGAGGTCCCGACATCAGGACTCGCCAGGAGGGGCAGGCCACGTGAGTTGCGTGGATATGGGGGATTGTCTCCTAGAAACTCAGCCTCTTCCCCTCAACCTCCCCTGTATACCTTACTTACCTCGGTCAAATTTCTTGCCCTCCGGGTCAATATCCTTCACATCGAAAATATCCTCAAAGAGGATACCCGCCATCTCGAGGGGGCCACGAGAGCAGCAGGACGGGACGCACACCCCCTCGCGTGGAGAAAAGTAGAGAGGAGGAAAGGCAGCGCCTGTCGGCCGGCAGCAAAAAGAATGGCGCAAGCGCACAAACAAGCAGAAATGCGACAACTTCCGTCGCCGCCTTCCTCTCGGGGCTTCTTAACTTCCGCCCCGAAAGATTGCTTCCGAGAGGATTTGGCATTGAGGGCGGGTCTCAGATTCAGGCGACTCCGCCCAGGGCGGAGAAACAATAGGTCCAACCTCCTGCGGTGGGGGCGCATGTTCTGGCGCTTGGTTGGGACTCTACTGCGCCCTCTTCGGAGTCCGGGTCCGGAAGACTGGAATGCGTGGGAGCCTAACCCAGCCAGGGACCTTGATCCTTGTCCCAGAGAAGCTGGGTCCTAGACCTACCCTGCCGGGCCGCACGCCTGTAGAGGGCACAGTCTGCACCGAGGGCAGATGGAGCAGAATCCCGCCCCCAGAGAGCTGGCCCGGCCGGGCGTTGTGCCCAGCCCCTCCAGCCAGCACCGAGGCTCCCGGGGCCGGCCGGGGCCGGCTCGGCCCTTCTGGACGTCACCCGAGCCGGGGCCGACCAGTTTGGGAATTTGCCATGATGTCACAAGAGGAAAGCCTATATTGCCCCCTACTGCACCTCCACCACTGCCCTCTTCCTTCGGGCCCTGATCTCTTCCCCCACACCGCCCCTTCAGCCTGTCCTCCCCGAGCATTACCCCCTCTCAGCTTAGTACTGCCCATTTCTCCTCCACTGCCTTCTCCTTCTGGACACTGATCTGCGTGCCCCCTTCATCCTAACACTGTCCTCTCCATTGAATACCAGCTCTTCCCTCACACTGCACCTTCCTTCAGAGTGCTGGCTTCTTTCTCACACTGCCCCCGCTTCCTGGGCACCGCCTCTGCCTCCCAAATGATCCTTCATCCTGGTACTGCCTCTCCCGCACACTCCGTTTCCTAAGCATGGCCCTCTCCTCGGACGCCGTCTCTCACACTGCCCATCCACCCTGTGCTCACCCTACCCTCTGTTCTATCCTCTCCCAAACCCTATAGAGAACGCAGAGTCCCGGCAGGCCTCTCCCCCAAGGCGGAGAGACGTCACGGGCTACTCGGGTTTCTCCTTGGGCCCAGCCAGGGAAAAGCGACCTCTGCTCCCCCCCGCCCGCCTCCCAGGAGTGGCCTCCCTAGCACCTAGAGCTCCCTTCCCTCGGGCCTCACCCTTCCCGTCCCCTCCCTACCTCCACCCTCTCACACCCCGCAGGCCTGGTTGCTCCAGGTGCTCCTCCCTGGGGAAAGGAAAAAGGGGGCAGATGAGAGAGAAGGCCCAGAATCCCCCTTGGAACCCACCCAGCTTTGCTTCTCACCCCAGACGGGGCAGAGGGGCCTCCCCAGGCCCGTCTGAGTCGCTTGCTCCTCCAGAGGGGCAGAGGGGGGCTGCTCCTGACGGACTGGGACGGAGAAGCCCGGTTTAGACGGCTCGGTAGCCCCTCGCCCCTCCTAAGCCCGGGCGTCTCCAGCCCCTCCCTCCCGGCGCCGGGCGCGGGTTGCCGAGAGCCCGGCCCGGCCCCTCCACGTGC